GCAAAACTCATCGGGTATACTCCAAAGTATCCCGGTGGTGGCAGAAGAACATGGTCCGTCGGCCTGGGTGCCCTAACCCGCCCGAACGGCCCCACGTACATCTGGGCAACAAGATAGTCGGCCGCACTGCTCTCCGGCTTGATCAGGTAGATGTTGGTGAGATCCAGATAGGAGATACCGGGCCCACTCTTCGGCCTCCTCACTCTCTTCGGCTTAGCTGCTCCCTTCACGGCAGACACCGGCCTCGGGCACGGAACGACAGCAGAAGTGGACGCCCCGTCCACCACTCGGGACGCACCTGCGTCCTCACCCTTTGAGGAGGAGGCGGACTCCTCGTCCTCGCCTTCCTCGTCCACCGGCTCTCCGGATTTGTAGGGACTTAAACGCTCTATCTCCTCTTCAAACTCCTCGAGCACCTCGTAGTCAAGCGACCTCGTGGAGGGCTGGTCGTCGTAGGGGTAGTAGTCTTCGTTCAAGCTCTTCATAACTACTACTACGGGCCTAAGGAGACTAACTTAAGATCTAAGGATGTTCAAACGCCTAACACTAGATCAACAACCCAAGAAGCAAAGTATGAAAAGTGAGGAAGATCGCGATGAACACTAACCTTGAACAACGAAGAACACGAAGAACAGGCTTGGGAGTTTATCTCTCTAGAAAATCGGCCAGCACTTCGACAAATTCAGAATGCAAATACGTTTTCGCGTCGGAGGGGGAGGGGTATTTATAGAACCCCCCACCCAACGGTCACTACACGTGGCACCCCCCCAATGGCCACACCAACGGCCACCAATGGAGGACCACCACGTCACCAACGGGCCAAACTTAATATCAACAGCCCACTGGCAAGACGGACTCTACGGCCTACACACGCTCACCGGCTTTACAAACGCCAGCAAGCGCCCACAACGTCCCACTTGCTCGCCAAGATCACAACGGCCAAACAATAAGGAGACGGCAACGGCCAGGAACGTAACGGCCACAAGATCAAAGGACCTAAGAGCCCAAAAGCCATCGGCTCCTCGTAATAACCCTTGATGATAACCCTCTACAAGCGATCTGCGCACAAGGGTTCTCCCACAGGGTTACCTTGGCCATAAAATCGCCATGAGGGTTGGATTCAGGGGGACTACGGCGAGATCGCTTCGGCCGGGGACTCAAGCAACTCCTTCACCCCTCACACTCTTCGGCCTGAAGCAGTGGGGGACTGGGGGACTACACCGACCTCAACAAAACGAAAGAAAAATGCAAACAAGGTAACCACAGAGCACGGCCACATCGGCCACGCATAACACTGCACCTCGTCGGTATGCACACAACGTCATCTGCAACGGCCAACGGGTCACCAAAGGCAAGGACACTCATCGTCCTCCGCCATCATTTAATCACGAGGGGCTCTTCGGCCAGAAACATGAAAGCTAATCAACGACGGCCAAAAGGAGTGCGCAAACACCCTCATCGGCCACCCAAAGGAAAGGTCGCCATCGTCCTCAAAGCAAGGCATAACTTCAGTGGCCTCATCGGCCCAAACACAAACTTCAACCATCAGCGCCCAAGCAAAACGTGCCTTCAACGGCCGCCATCGAAAGAAGGACACTCATCGTCCAAGAACAAAGACATCAAGTAAAAAACGGCCTCCCTGTCCACAACGAGGAACAGGTAACGGCCAAGGGCAACAAAGCACAGGAATCTACTCTCCTTCACTTCGTCTACGTCTCAGCTTAGAGAGTGGGGGACTCCTGATGGAGTATATGGGTATGAGCCCCCGGACCCACATACTCGGAAGAACAGAAAGCACAACAGGGTGGCGCCCTCGTCGGCCAAGACACCCCCGTCGGCCGAAAAGGGGCCAACTCGGATTATGGTCCTGAGTCCAAGGAACCCGGGCGCCCTCGTCGGCCGTGCCCTCGTCGGCCGTGCCCTCGTCGGCCACGCCCTCGTCGGCCAAGAAGACCTCCCAGAATCAGACTTTATACTTACTCATTTGTACAACCCATTAGTGGCTTTGTATTCGGCCCAGTAGCGGTCCAGTTGTAAATGGGCCTCCCAAGCCCAAGGCTTGGGAGCCCAACCCTAATTTTCTCTATAAATACTCCCCTTGGGAGTAGTTATAGGGGTGACAAAATCATTCTATTGAAGCATATCATTGCACTTCTCTCTCTAGCTCTCACTTCTCTCTAGATATACTCTATCAGAAATATTAGCTTCCGAAAAAAAGATTAGATTTAAAAATATAGCACGATTTCAGTAGCTTTTCAAATCAAATTGGTTATCTAAATTAAATGTAAGAGTATTTAAATTCGGAAACAAAATTAAATAAAAGAAGTATTTATTAGATCTTAATTATGATGGAGTTCATGCGTTAATTAGTTTCCCAATTTATAGGATGTTTTCCTATCATGGTGGCTCGTACATGACGACTACTTGGATTCTTTTTACCATTGTGCCCCTTGATAAATAAAGAGTTGCACCGTTACCTTATTTACTACATTAATTATCCGAATGTCTTGCACATAGTTGTGTATTACGGAAAATCCTAGACCATCTGATTGAATTAATTGATGGTTAGATTTTGTTCTTTTTTGCTCTCCTAAGAGGGTGTTCTCACAGGAACTAACCCCTATATATATATATATATATATATATATATATATATATATATATATATATATATATAGAGAGAGAGAGAGAGAGAGAGAGAGAGAGAGAGAGAGAGAGAGAGAGAGACAGAGAGAGAGAGAAAGAAAAGATCATGTGAGAAGTTCCCCTTAGGCTGAGAAGCTGCGAAGTTTAACTTATAAGCTCAAAACACGAACTTTTAACCAATAACTCATAACTTATAGATCTCCTCCAAAAAAATTACGAAAATGCCACCGCGTCAAAATAACTCCAGAAACCTGGATTTTTTTTTGCAGAAAGTTCGTGTTTTTGAGGGGGTCTATAAGTTATGATTTTTTGGTTAAAAGTTCGTGTTTCTTGCTTATAAGTTAGACTTCGCAGCTTCTCAGCCTAAGGGCACTTCTCAGCTAATCCGCTCCCTATATATATATATATATATATATATATATATATATATATATATATATATATATATATATATATATATATATATATATATATATATATATACAGTGGCGGACCCAGAAAGTCAGAGCCACGGGGTCCCTACCCTTTTATATCTCTAATCTCTAATTAATACAAGTATAAAACTAATAAAAAATCGATCCAATTCTTCATTTACTAATGGGGAATCATTTGAATTAACACCTGAACTACTCCTGGTACTCTAGGTTTCTTTAAAATTAGGTACAACATCAAAATATCTTTTCATCCTAAATCGTATAAAATTGAAAATAACATTTATAAATACATGAATTTATTAATTTAATCTAACATTAAAAAAAGATATGCAAAGAAAAACAGTAGAGAAAAAAAACCTAGGCGACTGATGTGCTTAATTATATTTTACACACTTTTTAGGCTTAGTCTGTTGATAATTTTAGTTATTAAAGTTGTACTTTTGTACATATTTTTATTATTTGTCGTTAATTTGTATTAGTGCAGTCCTATGCGTGTATTTTGTATTTTCTGGTACATTTGATGTTATTTGGATACATTTAGTGTGAAGAAATGAAGAAAATAAAAGTTCAAGTTGGAGAAAAGTAGCAAAAATTAAGAAAGATGAAAATGGGATTCGAGCACTAGTCATTTGAACAAAGAAGGACATACTCAACCAATGAGCTAAATGAATCAAGTTGAAGTTTTTGTCTAAAATTTGAATACATTGTTCAAGCCCAGCACTAAAAAAGGATTAAAACGAAGATGTCAAGTTTCAAACCCGCGACCTCGTACTTTGAATGAGCACCCATCACCGCTACACGGCTCCATTCTTTTGATTCTAATGTTGTTTTTTGTGTAAATATACATTGAATAATTAATTTTATATAATATACATATGTAATTATTTCGAGGTGCACGGGGTCCCGGGACCCCGTGGGACCCTTGGTGGGTCCGCCTCTGTATATATATATATACATATATATGTATATATACGTATATATACGTATATATACATATATATACATATATATACATATATATGTATATATACATATATATACGTATATATATGGAATATATATATATATATATATGGAAGAGTTCAAATGAAAAGTGGTATTCCCGTGTAAAGTGTAAAGTTTTCACTTTTTCATGTTTCGTTTGCACGTTTTATTGTTTGCTTTGCACCCTTGGTGGGTCCGCCTCTGTATATATATATACATATATATGTATACATACATATATATATATATATATATGTATGTATACATATGTATATATACATATATATGTATATATATATATGTATATATACATATATATATGTATATATACATATATATACATATATATGTATACATATATATATATGTATACATATATATATATATATATATATATAGATATATGTATATATATATATATATATATATATATATATATATATATAGATATATGGAAGAGTTCAAATGAAAAGTGGTATTCCCGTGTAAAGTGTAAAGTTTTCACTTTTTCATGTTTCGTTTGCACATTTTATTGTTTGCTTTGCACTTTTTAGCCATTTTGATTTTGGCCAAATTCGGCCAAAATGACGGTGAAAGTTTTGTAAATAAACCAATTTTTTTGAGCTACCGCGAAAAAGTGCAACGAAAGCAAGAAAAAGTGCAAGTGAAACGTGAAAAAGTGCAAACTTTGCACTTTGCACGTTAAGACCACTTTTTATTTGAATCATCCCTTATATATATATATATAGATTTAAGTTCATGTGAGAATGTAATCTTAGGAGAGCAAAAAAGAATAGATATCAACCGTTGGATTAGATTTTAATTAACCATGCGCCTAAATAATCCTAGAGGGTATTCAAGTCAATTCTGTTTATACTTCGTACGTTTCCTAAGTTGGCGCTGCATGTTTCCTTCATTAACCGTTCCTCCACGATTCTTTCCAAACACATCTTCCTCCTGTGTTCTTCTTCTTCTGCGTCCTTCTTCTCTTCCTCCTGCGTCGTTCTTCCTCATGCATGCGTTCTTCTTCTATCCTTGTTCGGAATTCATCCTGATAGAGAACGTATTGATCGGATTTCTCCTTGTGCGTCGTTCTTTTTCTTGGTGCTCCATCCGTTGTGGGTTTTCTGCTCCAGCCTAACTTTCTTCCATGGAGTTCAGTAACTATCGTTTATTTTATTTTCATCATTGTTTAAACTCTCCAAGTTTTACGTTCCTGGATGAATATATGTGTAAATATGATTTCTTTTTGGATAGACATACTGTAGAATTTTGACATGGTACTTTAGAATTTTGACATATGATTCTTACTTTGTTTCAATATTGTAAACGTCATGTGCTTCTTGTTTACCGATTCCTGGTGTGCTAAATCTTTTCTTAATATTTTGTATTGCACTTTTCATTAGTTTTTTGTTTTACTTTTTTTTGCAGATAAAAGAGGCACCGGGAGACAATGCCATAATGGAAACTATGATGCTTTTGGAAGAAAAGTGCATATCATTTTGTAAAAAATATCAATGTAAAATTTTAGAATAGTATGAAGTACTAGTGCACTTTTATGTATATTTAAATGCACATGATAAAAGTGCATTTTATTTTGTAAAAAAGTGTATGTTTATAATTTTAGAAAGTGAAATAATAGTGCACGTTTATATTATTTTAAATGCACGTTATATTTGAAGGTGTTATATTTAACAAAAAAACTTTCAATGGTGCACGCTAAATCTTTTAAATGGTGCAAATGTGCACATCATGAGTTTTAAATAGATCAAATGTGCACCTTCAATGTTCAAGGTGTGCATTTTAACAAAACAAAAAAGTGTTAAATTAAAAACAAAACTATGTTAACAACACATAAGTATATAAATACTACGTGTATATTGATAAGATTTCAATATCACATTCTTCGAACTATAAAAATAAAGTGCACTTCTAAATTGTGATTATTGCACATATTAATGTTTTCGTTTACTGAAAAAATGCACATTTTAATTACAACAAATGCACCTTTGGTTAAACATAATATTTGTGACTATTAAAATGAATATTTGCAAAAAAATCAAATAAGAGTGCAATGATTCACCGTTAAAGTGCAATCGACAAGTCTTGCATCTGAAAAAAAAGTCACACGTGAGAGGACCTTAAATTTGGAAATAAAATAAATAAGATAAACTATTTAATTTTTCAAGCATAAGATAAACTATTTATGGTGGTAATTATGAGGGAGATTACTCTGTATTAATTGTTCTCCTAATTATTAGGACTACTTCCTATTATGGTGGCTTGTGCGTGGTAACCACTTAAATGTGGTTCACCATTATGCCCCTGAGTAAATACATTGTGCACTCTTTCCATTTCTCCAGCAAGACACGTGAGGTGCAGCGTGTTTTTTTTAAAATTTTAAGCATTCATATAAGCCACACGATTAGATTAATCAATGGTATGATTCTGTTCTTTTTTCTCTTCTAAGAGGTCTTTCTCACCTGAACCCACCCCTATATATATTAGGGATCATGTGAGAAACCATCTTAGGAGAGAAATGAGAATCAATCAAGACCCTTGAATTCTAAGATGGTTTATATTAATCTGATTACTCGTATAAGGTTAGAAAGGTCATTCTTTCCTCTTTCCAAGAAAAAAACTGTAGGCTATGTTTGAATATTTACTAATTAATTATTATTTCCACTACTTTCATCCGTAGTTTTAGGATCTATTTTCATCCCTCTTTGCAGTTCTCATTGGCGTCTCCCACCTCGCTGCCATCCACAATCATCCACAATTATCTTTGCGTCTAGACTTGAGACTTCAAAGGCTTAAAGTTTGAATGTGACATCTTAGTATGTTATTTTAGAACATTGGGGTAGCATAACACATTCTTATAATTATTGTGAATAGTCGACAGGGCCGGCCCATACATATAGAAGACCCTGTGCAAAATTGAAAATGAGGCCCTAAGTTTTTTTTATCATTATATAATCATTATTATATTATTACTTTCACCGTTTTTAAATAATAGTGTCCTTAGGTTTTTTGTGGGTTTTAAGATGAAAATAGTAGGCCCTAAAGGTAAATGAAAAGTAGAAAAGAGAATAAATTAAGAAAAGTAAAGTAATGACAAAGTATGAAAAAGAAAGTAGTTACAAGCTCGTTCCAAACTGTACGAGGATTTTGTGTTAATTAATGTAATTAGGCCTTGTGAAATAAAGAAATCACACAATTGTAGTTAACAATTGTACTTTAATTACATAAAAATATTACTATTTAATGTTTGTATTTAAAAAAAATATAAGATAGGAATTTTTAATCAAATAAATAAAGATTTATTATATTATATAGACTATATTTAAATTTTTGGGCCTTCTGAAATTGAGAGGCCTTGTGCGGTTGCACTTCTTGCACGCCCTCATCTACGGCCCTCATCTACTAGATGAGTGATTTGTAATTTGGTACTTTGGATTGGTAATTTGGTACCATGTGGACGTTCAATACCCGAATTGTCTTTTCTTCATGACTTATAGATCAATAGATGAGTGATCCATGAACGTCAGCTGCACGAGCTACATTTTAGCTAAGGTTTGTAGATACGACTAATACGAGGTCTGTCCGTGCATTAATAATAGCGACACACCATATGTATGTGTAATATTTAATGCTATAGAAGTATAGAACCCGTTCACTAATGTTAAATTTGACTTGGTGTAATAAATTTATGAAATCTGGTTTAAACAATTGATTTGACTGAATTTTAGAAATTACAGTATATAAATATACACCTCGTCCTGAAATTTACATTTGAGTATGACTTCACGAGTTTTTAAGTAGAAAAAAAATAAAAAAATGAGATATTCAAAATTACCCTTGCATAGTAAAGAGATATATGTAGTGATCCAAATAAATTAAATGAGGTAAATGAATAATAAAAAGAGGGATCAAATGGGTTCTTTCGAAGCAAAAACTTACAAAAATTAAAGTAGAAATAAACTAAAGTAGAAAGTTGATTTTGGGACATCCAAATAAAAGAGGTGAAAGTTAATTACGAAACGATGAGAATATATTATTATATATTAAATAAAGAAAAAATTATAATACTACACTATTTGGTAAAAGAATGGCTCAAAAGTAAAAAACTGTGTTACAAATGAGTTCACAATTTTCTTTTTAAAGGATTATGATAAAGATAGCAAGTGTATAAATTTTAAAAGTAAATGTATACTTTTTTTAGAAAGCTATCGACAATCCTACCCCTGCAAATTAATACAACTGGTTGTACCTTGCAGATGGTACAACCAGGTATTTTTGAAATTGATTTGAACTCTGAGGTTTCTTCTCTAATGTTCATCCCATGCGAACTCAGGCAAAAATGGGCATTTTCAAACCCAAAACAATTTTTAATTTAAATACAGCTGTTGGTTCAGCTGATCCTACTTGTTTTTCAGTGGTCAATAAACAATTAAAATGACGTGAGACAATGGTTGAGAAATTTAATGCTCTTATTACTAATCGTACGTACTTGAGATTTGGTACCGTTTGATACTTCTAAAATATTGTGGGCTCTAAGTGGATTTATAAGACAAAATTCCATTCTGATGGGTCTATTGAGCGCTATAAAGCACATTTGGTTGCTCAAGGATTTAATCAGCATGCTAGTGTAGATTTTCCTGAGACCTTCAGTCACGTTATGAAACCTACCACTGTTCGGTTTGTTCTTACTTTGGTTGTTTCTTTTAGGTGGGTTATGTAATTAGATGTCAAAAATGCTTTTCTTCATGGTCATCTCACTGGGGATGTTTATATGCGTCAGGTGTGGGGTTTTGTTCATTCTCAATTTCCTAATCATTTGTGTCATTTGCGCAAGGCAATCTATGGTCTCAAACAAGCTTCGCGGGCATGGTTTGATCGCTTTAGTAGTTTCTTGCTCGGTCATAAATTTTATTGCAGTAAATCTGATAAATTCTTGTTCATTTACCGCCAGAATTAATGTGTTCTTTATTTGCTGTAATATGTGGATGATATTATCATTACTGACAATGCGTCTTCTCTTACCATCTCATTTATTAGTCTTATATTGCCATGAAATATCTAAATGATCTTCATTATTTTTAGGAGTCCAGACTATACGTACCTCCAAGGGTTTGTTTCTTTCCCAATATAAGTATGTTTCTGATCTTTTCTCGTTTATATTTACACACCCTTAAATCTGTTCGTACTCCTCTAGCCACATGCACTACTTTATCTCTTCTTGATGGGGAACTTCTTGCAGACGTAACTGAGTATCGTAATATGGTTGGTGCATTACAATATTCATCTTTGATAAAACATGATATTACTTATGTTGTGCATTTAATGTCTCAATTTATGCATACTCATCGTACTACTCATCTTTTTGCAGTCAAGCGAATTTTTAAGATATTTGCAGGGAACTCTTGATCATGGTTTGTGGTTGCGCCCCACTACACAGGCTACATGTGTCATTGCTTACTCAAATGCTGATTGGACCGTGTTGGGATATATTATCCCGGCCTATTACTGTTCAGGAGCCCAAGACTTCACATAGTACGGAACCCCTTCAGTAAGGCCCGTTTTCGGCCCATTTAGGCCATCCGGCCCAGCAGGCCCGTTTTCGCCCATTAGGGTAGAAATGCACCCCCCTTTCACTATAAATATGAGGCTTTCCCACATGTTTAGGGATCCCCTTTTTTGGGAGACTTTCTCTCTTCTTCCCCACACCCCACTTCTCTCTAAAGCTTGGAGCTCCATTAATGGCTACCAAGGCTCAAACTTGTATATTGTAATGGTGAGGAGAGATTAATGAGAATGAGAGGGCTTGGACACTAGCCTAAACAGTCCCGTGGTTTTCTCCCTTTTCGGGTTTCCACGTAAAAATCATTGTTTATATTTTATTATCACCTCATAGCCATGGAACCCTCCCGGAAGGGGTGTTGAACTTCCGGGCTGCGACGAATAAAACTCAACAGACCGGTTGCCCAGACACCTCTCGTTCCACCATAGGGCTTGCTATATTTTTGGGGCCAAATCTGGTCTCTTGGAAGTCCAAAAAGCAGCCTACACTCTCTAAATCCTCTACTAAAGAAGAATATAGAGCTATTGCATACACGGTCCAAGACATGTTGCACGTAATAGAATTATTAGAGGCTTAGTATTGTACTTTACATTAAACTCTCTTTAATATAAATATATCTGTCAGGGCTCCTTAGGGAGTAACCTTTTCCATTATTCTCACATGGTATCAAGAGCACATTAATTTTTTTTCGATCCTCTCTCTCACTAAACCCTAGCACCGCCGCCGTCTTCTTCCCTTCGGCGCTGCACCACACTGCCGCCGTCCTCTTCCCTTCGGTGTCGCACAACACGGCAGTATGTCGTCCTCAGCTTCCGCAGCCTTCAGCACGATGACAACCACTACCCAGCCCGCCATCCCTGCAGCGGCTACTTCGGTCATAACCGCCGGCGCTCCTCCGTCTTTTGGATTGCTGCCGGCACTCACATCCGTCTCTTCTGGTGTGACGTTCTCCTCACACTTTGCATCACCAAGTTGGGTCTCTATGTCACACTCGTTATTTCAGAACGTACCACCGGTGTTCCATTGGTCGGCTCCAATTCCCGTGCAGGCTGTCCCTCTAGAGCCG